GGGTTTAGGGTTTAGGGATTCCGGTCGTAGGATTAAGTCAAGTGCCTCACCCTCAGGCTCAAAATATCCCCCCTATATGCTATGGTCTTTGGGCCCAAAAGCCTTAAAATATGAGTCCTTAGAGCCTTTGGGTTGGGGCTTTGGCGGTTTAGGATTGTCAGGCTTGGGGCTTTAGAATTTACGGTTGTGTGTGTTTGCTTCAGCAATCTGGGATTGCTTTAAGGTTCAGGGTTTGGGGTTCAGGGTTTGAGGTTTAGGGTTTGGGGTTCAGGGTTTGGGGTTTAGGGTTTGGGGTTCAGGGTTTGGGGTTAGGGTTTAGGACACTTCCAGATGAGCCAAGATAGGCCCAGGACGAGGAAGGGTCCGCTGGGCTTGATTGCGACCGAGGTTCGGCAGAATGCCATGGACAAGCACATCTTGGGTCCTCAGGAAGTCACGGTCGAAGCCGTTGTTGAGGGATGCAACGGTGTACTCGGCATCGGTTTCGAAACGTTCCACGATGGTCGAGCACCCCTGCTTGTTGGCCAATTTCAGCATCTGCTTCGCCTTCTCTATGGCAACGGAGTCCAAGCTTTGCGCACCACGTCCTCCCACTTCCCTACGGATGTTGGCGAGGACTTCCTCAACGGTCAGGCGCGACTTTGCCTTGCCGGTTGCAAGGGCAGCTGCTTGCTCCTGAAACCACCGGTCGGTATATACTATATGAGTACATGGACCCTTACGGTCAGACTATTGAGCATTATCCTCTTGATCCTCCGGCGTCGGGAGAGGGCCTCCGGCAGGGTCGCCAGGCGACGTTGCAGATGCAGTAGATACGACGTCGTCTTGTGAAACATGATCGTTTAGGGTTTAGGGTTTAGGGGTTAGGGGTTTAGGGTTTAGGGTTTAGGGATCACGCAGCAGCGTTTGCCGAGGTTCAGGATGTGGGAACCCCGCCAGCTCCCAATTGAAAATGGACCGCAGCTTGGCCCGAAATGGGCGCCCCCAAAACCTCCAGTCCCCTATATCACATCGCAATCCAAAACCAAAACGCCAAGAAGCAGACGACCTCCGAAGCCCCAAAGATCTCATCCCACACCGACTCCCTAAACCCTAAACCCTAAACCCTAAACCCTAAACCCCAAAACGTGGCTCAAACCCTACTTGCAAAACCATGTTGGAGAACTCTGATGCACCCACTGAGACTCTGCGGAACCCTCTTTACAAAGCTCAAGCCCAAAAGAAGACGATGCTAGGGTTTTAGGGTTTAGGGTTTAGGGTTTATAGAAGTTAGGAGTTGTTCAGGGTTTGGGTGCCGAAAACGTTTTGATTCGTACACAAGTCAGGCGGATGGAATCCCCGAATCTAGAAGCCCTGCCGGTAGTCAGGTTTCACTTCTTGGGGCCATACACAAGCCGCGAAAGATCTAAAACTCCATAAACCCTAAACCCTAAACCAGTGTAAAGCTGGCGGGCGGTCGAAAGTGGAGAGCGCAGGAGCTCGAGAAGCCCCCGAGCCCGACCCTTAACTATAGGTAGTTCTCTAGAATAGGGTCCCTGTTAGGGGTCCCTGTTATAAGGGTGCCGTACTATATTGGGGACCTACAAAGGGACCCTATTTTAGAGACACTCCTAAAGGCGCCCACGTAAAGAAACCCCAAAACCCAAAGAGCCGCAAGGAACAACAAGCTCCCAAAAACCCAAAACCCGAACCCTTTAGGTCGCACTTGAGAAACTCTTAAAATACATCTTGTCCTTATAGCCAGCCCACGCAACTTCAAACCCAAAGAACCCTACACCATAAACCCTTTTGGATCCCTTCTTGTGACCCTTAAAGGAGCCCTTCAAGAAACCCTAAACCCTCAAAACCCAAACCTTGAACCCTAAACCCTACACCCTAAAACCCCAAACCCCAAACCCTAAACCCTAAACCCTAAACCCCAAATCCTAAAACCCAAAACCCTAAACCCTAAAACCCAAACCCTAAACCCTAAACCCTGAGACCCTAAACCCTAAAACCCAAAACCCTAAACCCTAAACCCTGAGACCCTAAACCCTAAA